TTGGAACAAAAGAGAACGTCTATAGAAGGGACGGAATGTATTCGGAAGAAAAGAGGCTCGATCATGTGTGCTTTTCTGTTGATGGTACGAGATCAACTTTGCTCTGAACGAAAAGATGTTTTTTGCTGACTGTTTTGAGCATTTTAGAGTTTTAGGGAGAAGGACATGAAAGTTTTCAAATAAAATTAAAGTCTCGCACAACTTTTTCATTGACTTCCAATGATTAGAAATACAATTATTGCGTTAATATAACCCGCTCCAGTTTCACCAGCATCGCGCATTTTCATTATTATGCATGCAACATGTACTGAAATACTGTATTTGTTTGAAAGGTGTGTATTTTGTCGATCTGTTCCATGTGAAATTTTTGGTTTTTGGCTTTGAACTTTGATTCTGTTTAGTTTTGGCCTGGAAGAGATTGAGATGGAAAATGACAGTAGTCTTGGAGAAGCTGAATTGCTATTTGGGAGCACGTTTAAGGTATCTTCAGAATTTTTTTCCCGAGGCCAAAACAAAAGAGTAAGGTTACTTATGCTCTTAACAGAAGTAACCGTTCTAAAGTTATCAGTTATTTCTGTAAGGTTATCAGTTATTTCTGTAAGGTTATCAGTTATTTCTGTTCCTTTTTTCTCTCTTTGTTTTGGATATTCGAGTAAAATGTTTCTCTGCAACTTTCTGTCGGAAACGTTGCAGAAAATCTAAAAAAAACTTTTGTAGACTTGTCTGAAGTACTGAACCAATATCAACAACCTACAAGTTTGGCGTTGCTGATGAATGATTCATTTAATGCCGCGCGTGTCTAGGACAACCTTCGCACGAGCCCATTTTCAATGCATCGGAATATTTTCTGTGCGTGTCATTTTTTTTGTGTTGAAGATTTAAATTACTGTTCTGTGATGCAGTACACTTTTAACTCAATCATTTATATACTGTATATACTTTCTCCAGTGATAGTTGATATATTCTTCGGTCTATGGTGTGCGTGATTCGTGATTTTTAGTGAATACGATTTCAATTTGGTTTTGTGCGAAAGGTTTAGTAGCCGTGTGTTATTCGTTGAGGGCTTTTGTGCATTACGATTGTACTGTATTTTGATTTACGGTACTGTAATCCTGGAGTACTGTAAATATCATTTGGTAATTTATCACGGAAATGTACTGTATATACTAAATTTCGATTGTGATTTGAAGGCTTCATTCTGGAAGGTCGTAACGGTGGTCACTGAATTGTCTCAAGTGGATCGTATCGAACGACCCTTTTTGATATGTTGCTGGAGCACTTCTGAGGAAAACGGGAATTGATTCCATCAGTGTGACGATACCCATAGTACGCCGAGATTTACTGTTGGTGTTTTCCGGGAGCTATGTTCTTTCGCTGTGGGGGCCCCCCCATCCTGTGTGTGTGTGTATGTGAGTGGAACATCGCGCGCTTCGCTCTCCTCTCATTCATTGTACTGTACACTACTGTAGTTCTTCCTCTTCGTCGTCGATGACAACCCTAACAAACCAAAACAAACCCCTCTCCGCAACCCCGAACCCCCTCTCCTCCCCCCCCCCCCCCCCCCC